GTCAGCCAAAAGGGGGGGTGGGTTCCGCCAGCCGCTTCTGCTACCTATATCCGTCCGCTAATTTGCCTGGCAGGGTGGTCTGGTTTTGAAGGAAAATTCGTACCTCTGGGGTGTAATTTTCCACAGCCCTTTCTTACAGGCTTGAGCGAGTGCAGGGTAAAGAGCATCCGTTCTGGACCGATTTTTGGCCTTTGGGCTGATTAGCGGGAACACTTAAGAGCCCCTGTGCGGCGAGAGGCGGGACTGTGGGGGTCCCAGGTTAAAAGCGGTGGGTGCATCAGGCGTAGGCGGTGGACCGCTCCGTCCCGGCGGCAGGTGAGGGGGATGCTCTGGCGCCTGGGACGGGCAGCTCATTAGCTCCCCGCTTTAGCCTGGTTAGTGAGGGCCTGCTAAAAGAGCAGCTTCATGCTGTATCCTGGATACCAGCTCTCGGGTCAGGTGTACCCAGAGCACAGATTATTGCGGGCTTTCCGGTAGATTTTGAAACGGGAAGAATAAATGCATCGCACCCGGCGGTTGTTTTATTCTCTTGCTTTGGCAAAGCAAAGGCTCGGCCCCGCCACGCCGTATCCCGCTTTGCGAGGATGTCGCTCAGCCTTCGAGAGGAGCAAATGCAAAATTAATGGCTTGCCACTAATCTGGGAATGCAGGGGCTATTTTATACATGCAGCATCACTTAGAAATGTGTTGGTTTTTTTCTTCTTTTGCATCTGAGACAAATCGAGGAAGACTCGCACCCTCCTAAATTTTTGGTTGAGTGATGGAGCAGTCATTGTTTCAAGGCCACACGACAGCGTAGAGCTGAGTCTGGTCTAGGCTCTCGACCGTGGTATATTTGACTGCAAGATGAATTGTGTTAAATTCACATGGCTTCCCACGGCGCTGGGCTCGTTACTGGAACCTGGCGCCTGGCTTTAGTTGTGCATGCAGAAAACCAGGGTGGGTGAAAATGGGATTTCCCTGATCTTGATAAGAGTCGGTCTTTTTTTTTTTTTGTTTGCCGATAGCAAACTGTCTTTTGTGTGTCTTAAATGTGTTTTGTTTCGGGTCATGTGCTTTTTCTTTTTAAAATCAAACTGACGTCGGCTGGGCTCCTGTTGTGCTTGCAGAATTTTCTGCTGAAAAATGCAGATGTAAGAGTAAAAACCTTCCTGCTAGCTTTACACATGGAAGTTTTGAGAAATGGAAAGCTGTGAGTTTTGTCTGCGAAATTTGCACGTTCCCCCTCTGCAGTGATTCCTGACGTTGGGGGCTGCGGGAAGGTCCCAGCGGGGTGTGGAGCTCTCGGTGCTGCTTCGCGCGAGCTAGTCTGCTCGTGGGAAGTCGTGGTCTCCGCTTCGTCTCCTGAAGAAGCAGGACTTTCAACAGCTTCCCCTTTTCTCTTCCTCTTGACTGACCCGTCTCAAAGAGGGTAACTTAGGCATATTGTCGGGGTTTTGTGTTTTGCCCTTTTTTCCTCCCCGTTTTCCTTCAAGAAGAGAAGTCTGCATCTCCGCAGCAAGAAATAACTCGATGTATCTGTTTTTCCTCCCATTTCCAGGAAGTGGTTCTGTATTGTTTGGAAAACAAGGTGTGTGATGTGAATCATCGTGACAACGCGGGTTACTGTGCCCTGCACGAGGCCTGTGCCAGAGGCTGGCTGAGCATCGTGCGGCATCTCCTCGAGTACGGGGCTGACGTCAACTGCAGCGCTCAGGATGGAACCAGGTTAGCAGCACCCCCGGCACAGCATCGGGTGGTCACCACCACCGGGCGGTAGTTTCTTTGGTCACGATGGTGGGAGGAAACACCCTTGCCCTCTCTACCTCTTCATGCTCCCCTCGTCCCCCTTCCCATCCCGCATGAAACCCCCAAAGCGGGTGGCGCGCGGTGGCCCCCTCGTTGCTGGTCCTCGGGCAGGAGCGCGCGGGACTCGGTGACCTCCTCCGCTCCCCGGTTAATAAAGCGGCGGGGGCACGCTTTTGTTGTGGCTCGAGTTCAGCGTAATGTTTTTTTTCTCTGGGAATTTTAATACGTCTGTTTTGTTTTTTAAGGAGTTTGTGAAATTCCCAGCTGCAGGGCAGGAAGGACCGATACTTGAGCTGCAGCACTGCTCGTGTGTGCTCCAGGTCCTTTGAGCTGTGCCAAAAGAGCGGGCTTTGCCTTGTTAGCAGGGTTACTTTTAAGAGCACTTCAGGCTTTGCAGCGATTGGGTGTGCGAGTCCTATATATGCTATACGAAAATGTTGTTTTGCTCAACTGTTAAACTCTATCTGCTCATTTGATATTTCAGATTTTTTTTTTTTTAAATCCCGAATTAGGCTTTTTTAGTTTCCTTCACAGAATAGTAGGGGTGCTTAGTTCCTGTGCTCGCAGAATAGGTAGTGAGCTTTTCTTTTTTTTTTTTTTTTCCTTTGTGGTTATAGAAATGCTGCTCTGCATCTTTTTTAAGCTTCTTGTGCGTCTCCTAAAGCACTTTGACCCCCTCTGCAGGGCTGACCTTGGGGTAACTTTTCCTCAGCATATGCAAAACATTATCCAGTCTATGCATTTTGGGGAGAGGTCGCTTTGTATTCCCTGAAGCTCCTGCAGCTTGTTATCTTAAATGGTTTATCACATTCGCTATCACCATCTAAATAGCCAAGGAGGTAAAATTAGCATAACTAAGAGTCTGCCTCTCTTGGTTTTAAGCTCTTTATTAACTTGGGAAGGGAGGAGTCAGGAAAACAAAGGTCCCAAGACTAGTTAGGATGGTCCATTAGACGTTCATGATGGTCAGTTGTTACCGGCCCATCACGGCCGAAAGGAAACATTTCTGAAGAAACATTAAAGCTCTGGCTGGATTGTCAGATTCCTTCTCCATCTCCCACTTCTTTGTAAGAAGTCTCAGCTCTCTAGGCTGACAAACAGCCCCGCATTTTCTGCTGTCTTCAGCTTTAATACGTGATGTATGCAGCAGCGGCAAGTTGCCGTAAAAAGACTCCTAAATTATTTTTGTCTCACTTGCTAGAATAACCTGTATAGGAAATTAACCCCAGGAAGTTTCTGACCAGTCTTAATCACCCGCCAGTTCAGAGTCCACCTTTGGTTTCGATTCACAGATGGAGCTGATTTTCAAGAAAGAAACTTGGCATGTGTACCCTAAAAAGTTGTTTTGGGGAAAATGCGTTTTAGAAACGAACGTAAGAATGATCTGATCGTAGATCGTAATGTCAGAACTCAGCTTGCGGTCCCCTTTCTTTTCTGATGGCAGGCTTACTCTTTGTTTGAAAAGCTGCCCAACAGTGTGAATCCAAAATGCATGTGATACACAGACGAAAGATGGTCTAGCTGCCCTGAGTTGGGTAGGACAGAGAGGAGAAGCTTCTGTAAGGGACTTCTGATCGGTGTTACCCCCTGCCTTTTGGTAGGGCCAGACTTCTCTGTCTCCGTAGAGTAAGTCATGACATTCATAAGATAAATCCCATTTCTTTCTTGAAGCCTCAATAAGTTTTTCTCCTTTAACTTTTAGGAGGAAAGATGCGTCAGTCTTCCTCAACTGTGTTGCTTTTTAAATTCGAATTCCTGAACGCATTCACTCCTTGGAAAGATATTCAAATCTTAAAACCAAAAAACCCCAAACAAGTGCACCATCAAAGACTTCTCCCCCTCCCCTGCTTTTTTAACTACACCAAACAGTCCCCTCCGCCACCTCCCAAGCCCGCTAGCCAAAGATGTTTTTGGTTGTGCTGGAAGCTCTCAAGTCTCCAGACAGTTCTGTTCAGCCAGTTAATGTAAATCCACATAGAGGAGTGATGTAACTGCATGAGCTGTGATGTAACTGCATACGCTGCGTTTGTTAGCGTGGCAGCCTGGGCTGTCACTTGGATCCCAGCTGCCTGAAGCTTCGGTCTGCGTTACTTGCTGCCTGCCGCCTGTGTGGTCAACTTTTTGGAGGACACCCTCTGAAAAGTTGTGACGAGTGAGGATATGGCTTGAGGCTGAACAAAATGTCCGTACGAACGTGGAGGATGTAGGAGAGTTCTGCAAAGCCTGTGCACCTCTCCTTTCAGTCCTGTCTGAAGTGCTGCAGGTGCTCCGATCAGTGGGGCGGTTTTGCATGCATGGGTTCAAGTTTGAAAGCGAAGCAAAGACCTGAGCCTCTTGCTTTTGATGTTGCCTTTTATATACCTATGCAGCCAGCCTGTTGTGAGTTCGGTAGATAAGGTTGGCTTTCAGCCTCTGGTTTCTGATACTATCAGAAACCTCGGTGAAGCCAAAACGAAACGAAGTGCCAGACTGTAGCGGCAGGGCAAGGAGGTGGCGGCGTTTGGGGGTTAGGTACGGTGCCGTCCTTCCCTTCACCCTCAGCTCAGTACTGGGGCTCTGCCCGTGCACCTACTGCCGGGCATCTGGCTGGGCTAAATACATCATCTATGTTTTTTCCCTTAAACTCCCATGCTGGTGATGGCTCTCCAAATGCAGCGCCTGCAGACCCTGAATACACAAGCACTCTGCTGCTGAATTAGTAGCTAATCAAAGATTATTGTAGAACGCCATGAGATCTTTTAAGACCTGTCTCAGAGGTGCCACAGTCGCTGAGGGCTCTTAATCGTCTTACCTATAAATAATAATAGACTGTGCTTAAGAGGTGAGTGCTTTTCTTCCCTGACAGGACCCCAGTAAGTGCAGCAGCTCAACAAGGGGCGTACGAGGGCCAGTGCCTGACATTAGCAAGGATGGTTGCCGGTGTATTTGGCCTTATCTCCTTGTTCTTCTCCTCTTACCTCCCCAGCATGCCCTAGCTGAACCGGCGCCGCTTTAAAAACAAAGCCACATGCCAGAAATACAGGCATCTCCTGCCTGTTAGCGAGGCCTCGCCGTTGCTTCAGAGTCCGCTCGCTAGATTCACTCTCTGCAGCCAGTTTTGCTTTATCCTTCTCGCTGGCGGCTGATGAGCTCAGCCTTTTTATTTTTTCCCTGAGAGGACCATGCCAAGATGGCTCTCTTCCTGCGTCCTTTCAGCTGGTCTTGGCAGAGCGGTACCCTCCAGCAGCTAATTGCGTTAAAGAAGAGGCAGCCGGCGTAGCTGCCCTCCTGCAACTTGTGCCTTGCCTCTTCCGTGGGGCAGCGTTGCATAATAGATGGAAATAAAAATAAAATGCCAAGATACGGTCTTGCTCGGCGAATTACGAGACCTCTTATTGCAGCGAGGAAAATTCTGATGGTGCCTGAAAGGCTGAGAGGAAACCCTGACTGGTCTAAATAGTTTATAATTTTGGTGGTGGAATGATAAACCCCCAGTGAAATGTTTTCCTAACTCTAGTAGCGGTAAAAATAGTAGGAAGAATTCGACAGTACACAAGAGAGGGTTGAGATGTGTGTCTCCTGTAGGATATTGCAGCTCTCAAATGTCCCCAGATCCTTCTGGGGCCTTTCGAAGGGTTTGTTTTAGAAACGAGCTGTACTGCCGTTAACTGTACCATTAGGGATAGAGAGTGTTTATTTCCACGATGTACCGTTAACTGTACCGTTAGGGATAGAGAGTGTTTATTTCCACGATGCTCAGGGCGGAAAAGATTGTATGGGCAAAGCAGCCCAGGAGAGGACTCCTAGGGATCTTTTTTTCACATCTGAAAAAGTTGCCGATTCCAGTAGTCACTTTTGCATCCTACAAAGAGGATGGTTAAACTCTGCCAAGACTGAAGAATACTCCCTCCTCTGCCGGTCCTGGTGGGAGAAGCAAACACGAGTAGTTGTGCCTTTGCACGGTCCCGCTCGTGAGCTTGCCAAGAAGGCTGTGCTAGCCAGTAAAAGTCTGTCAGCACTCTGTTACTGCCTTTTTTCCCCTGCCTTATCTGTGGGGAATCTCCTTTTTTTTTTTTTTCCCCCCCCCCCCGCCAGTGTTTTCTTTCCTCCCTTCGCTTCCTTGTATTTATTGTTCTTCCTCCTTCCGAGTGGCTTCACCGTGCCTTTCCTTCCCCTTGCCTCTATAAAGTCCCTTCTTGTGCCTGGGGCAGCCTGCCTGTGCTCCAGCAGGCGACAAAGATGGGTCTGCCTGCTCCGCTGCCTGCCCTGCTGCCTGCTCCCCTGCCTGCCCTGCTGCCTCTGCCCCTTTCTGTGCTGCTGTGCCAGGCTGGGTGACTTGTGGAAAGGGAGAGGGGGTCCCATCCCAGAGTTACAGCCCATGCGCTGCGATTTTTCCTTCCTGGGGAATGCCCAGGCGCCCTTTAATAAACTCGTCCGGGTGTCGTTAAATCGATTGAAACACTGGGCAGTGATTTAGATGCTGTTTTTAATAAGTTAAGGGATCATCTTGAATTCATTACTGCTTCAAAAGCCACTTAGGTAAGTCGGTTTAAAAAAAAAAAAAAACAAACAAGAAAACCCACAAACCAATAAACCCACAACACTCTCCACCCCCAGCCCCCCGCCCAGACCAGAAAATCCTAATTCTGAAATAAAATGGAAAACAGCTCAAAATTAAAGACTCCAGTAAAGTCAGGGAGTGGGGGAGAAAAAGCATCCCCAGCATTTGGCAGCAGCCGTAACTCTCATCTGTTCCTGCTGCCTGTTGCCAGACTTTCAGCCGGGGATGCTCCATGCCCAGTGGGGGACGGGAGGGTTTGCAGCAGGGCTGACCTTTCCCGCTGTAGATGCTCGGGAGTGTCGTGACCCGACAGCTCAGGCTTCAGATGCTTGCTGACAGCCAGAAACACCCGATACTTCTCCAGCCTCCGTGTCAGCACCCCTGTTATTTGTTACCTCTTGTGTTGTATCGCCTGGGATGTTTAGCACCGGCCAGGTCCTGGATGCGCTGGGTGCTGCGTGGGCACGCGATGCTGCAGCAGTCCCGGCGCGGAAGCACTGAGTCAGTAGGTGGAGGTGGGAAGCTGAGGCTTGCGGGGGACCCGGGAATGCTGGCTTCTCCAGTGCCGTCTGTCTCGAGGGCGTCCAACAGTTTCAGTGTTTAATGTTAGAGACTTCCTGAGGAATTGAGAAAAGGATATTCTGACCTTTTGCAAGTGATCCTCACGGACCTCTCTGGTCTTGAAATTTGGAAGTGGCTTTCCACAGAGCGTCACGTCGGGCTTTGAAGGCGAGCACATGTTGCGCTCTCTGGTGCCGGGGGTCTGAGGGGTGGCACGAGCTGGGTTGAGGACTGTGCTCAGCAGCTCAAGGGTCACCTGCTTGTTTGCTGTGTTGGCGGCCTGGGGTGTGCAGGAGGCAGGCAGCGCGGGATAAGGCCTCTCTCCGTAGGGAATGCCATTGCATTTGACTCCCCTTTCAGTTCCCTGCTCATCGCCGTCTAAAGAAAAGATGGGATTTTAACACATCTTCATTAGTCTGAAGGGTGATATGTTCTACTTCCAGACAACTCCCCCTTACGTATAATCAATTTTAAAGGCAAAAGTTAATGCGATTTATAATTAGCGATAAGGAATTCTAAACCTGGAATTGCAGGCATGTGTATTAATGAATAATCCTGTAGGCTCACAAAATCTACGTCTGAGCTTGTATAGATTGCTCGTGCCGCGTAAAATGCATTAACTTCTGGGTGGACTAAACTTAAAATAACATGTTTTTCTGTTCTCCGAGTAGAAGGGTTGAATTGTGCTGCAAATATATTTGCAAGTACTATTTAAAGAGGATATAGCACGGAAGTTTAATTCCCAGCAAATTTTCATAACTTATTTCTGTGTACATAATTTAGGAGCTTTGGGTAACTGATTTCCGTGCTTGCCCAGAGGCAGGCTGAATGAGCCCTTACTCCACAACACGCTGTTAAATTGGCAGAGATTTGGAACGGTAGAGTGACTTGCAGCAAAATGATGTTTGTGAGGCTTCATGCAAACTCCTGCTTTCTGTTACAGCGGTGTAATTATTTTACTGGCCCTCGAAATATGTACAGCAATGAACAGACGTAACAGAAATAGCTGTCCTGAGCAGTCTGACTGTGAAAAGGCAAGGCGGGAGGGGATGATGTGCAAGTAAAACTGACAATGAGATGATTGGCAGCTGTATTAATAGTGTTATTTTCTATAAATAACTTTGATCTGAACTCAGAAGTTTCTCATCAGACACATTTGCATAACACTACTGAGTCAAAAGGTAACACCGTGATCTTTTTTATTTCCCTAGACCAATCCATGATGCGGTCGAAAACGATCACTTGGAAATTGTCCGCCTGTTACTGTCTTACGGTGCTGATCCAACGCTTGCGACCTACTCTGGGAGGACCATCGTGAAAATGACCCACAGTGAGCTCATGGAGACCTTCCTCACAGGTGCATGGCTACGTTGCATGGGGCTCTGCTGGTCACGGCAAATGGGGGGACGTTCCCTGGGTCCCCAAAGTCCCTGTCACCCGGCAGGGATGGTTCCACGCTGAGGAGTGTTGGGGTAGACTGCGGTAGCTCCCTCTTTAAACATGTCCATGTTCTAACATGGCTTTAGGTTTTTTCCTGTTAGTTTTGGATAAAGGCACTTGCATTCCCTAATAACTTTACCTCTGAAAATGTTTGCAGTGTTCAGAGTCAGTGAGTTTAAGTACTCATCCACTTACCTGTTCAAATGGTGCAGTGTAGAAAGCGCATAGGTGTATCAGGACTCCAGTAAAGTCCAGTATCTTGGACTTCTTGGTGTCTTGAATCCCAGTATCTTTTCATCAACTCAACTAGCAAATCTCCCAAATTATGTCTGTAGAAAAGAATTGCATCTTCTGAACGTATCTGCGTGGAGAAAACTTTTTCCATCAGTTTCCTTGGGGCCACTGTTTCACCCCCAAGTTGGTGTCCAGAATAACTGTGCAGGCTAAAAGCGTGCTACCTCCTGTCTCTCACAAAAATAAAATGCCGCTCTCACTTACTGAAGCTTAAGGTTGGGTCTGTCCCTCTTAGACTGTGGGTGATTATTTGATGTGATGGGAGAAGGGATGCAGGAGAAAAATGAATTCCAGGAATATTTGCAAGAATGACGTGTGTAATATGCTGGTCTTTGTAGCATGTGCATCAGGAATATAGTGTGGGTTTTATTTGATGGAAGGTACGGAGGATGCATAGTGAGACTGTATGACACACGGTCTGCTAAACTTGCCAGCTTTTTGTTCTCATCAGTATGTTTTTGTTGTTGTTTTTTCCTCTCCAGAGTATTTAACTGACCTGCAAGGTCGAAGTGTTGATGACCCTGGTTTGTACTGGGATTTCTATGGCAGCTCTGTGTGCGGTGAGCAAATGTTACCCTTTATTTCTTTGTACGCGGAGACTTTCAAAACATGCGGCACGTGGGGGTGGGTGCTGTTTTGTTTTCATGGTGGAGGAAGCTAGGAAGGAAGCAAACTGATTTTATTTACAGATCACGTTATTGGAAGAAAAAGAAAGACCTGCAACAGTCTCCTCAATGCTGACTTGGCACCTTTATTCAATTTTATTTAGATCCAAAAGATGAATCTGGATTTGACATCTTGGCAAATCCACCCGGCCCAGGTGATGAAGATGAAGACGGCTTTAGTGATGTGTTTGAATTTGAATTTTCAGATGAGCCTCCCTTGCCATGTTACAACATTCAAGTGTGTCTCTCTCAGGGGTAAGAGCGAATACAGGTTTGGGGGTAAAAGTACCTGAGACGATCTGCTTGGGATGACGGCAGTTTGTGTCCGTGGGGAAGAGCATTTGCATTTACCTAACGTAAATGAGAGCTCAATACTGTAACTGCCAGGCTTTTTAGAAATAAGCTAATAGGAGGTGAGAAGGAGAAGGGCTGACTTGTCGGGGCTGTGTTTTGAGTGCCATACTCCCGAGCGGGATGAATGATGTTTGAACACGAATTCTTTCCCTCATCCCATGCAGGCACCTTGGTATAACATCCCAAAATACAAGCTCTTCTAGCACTTAAATTTGGATATCATGTTTGTAAGGTGTTCTTAATTTTATTTAATGGGCTTTTCTGTTTTGCTGAGTGGACACGCTTTTGTGGGTGACAAAATGACACCGTTACTGCTGTTCTAGACTTTGCAGCAAAACTGGTTTAAAGCTCTGAGTTAGATCAAACAAATAAGCATCTTACAGAAGATACTGTGGTACTTAATAATAAGCAAAGACCTGGAAAGTTTTATTATCTGTTATATTCAAGGTATAAATTAGCTTCGTAAACAGCTACCGTTTGTCATTTGCACCAATTTTGATGACAGCCGTGGGAAAAATAGTTTCAAATACTAATCATGCAGGAGTACGGGTTTTAGCGTGTGTTTATTATTTGGGTGATGGATATAACTTAAGTTCTCCAAAGTGGACAAGTACAAAGATTGAATTAAAAAATTGTGTTCTTAATCTGAGAAAAACGACCCTCTGTTGACTTGTATTTAATATTGGCATCTCTGGAAGTCAGAGGTGCTGGAATCCCTGGTTTTAACTATAAGCCACCTCCTAACTTGCTAAATAAGAGTCGGCTCAGCTGGGTGAACCTTTAGCCATGTGAGCAGCCGTCGGGATGGCTGCTGACCCGCACGTGCGCTCACGAGTCCTGGGTTTGTAGGCTCCAGTGCCCCTGCGTGCAAGGTCGCCCTCCTTCCCCAAAGCTGCGGGCAGCGGTAGCATGAGTAAATACGTACGCGCCTGCACATCTGTTGTATTCGGCCCCCTGGGCCATGGCCTTGATTTCAGGGGGGTTGTTTGTGCGGGAGGGTTTGTCACACAGCGATATGGTGAAGAGTCAAGAAGCCTGTGACTTAATGTCAGTTACTGGAGCCTGTTTCTCCTTCGCTTCCACAGACCGCGAAACTGGCTTTTGCTCTCGGACGTGGTGAAGAGGCTAAAAATGTCATCTCGCATCTTCCGCTGCAACTTCCCCAATCTGGAAGTTGTCACCATCACGGAGGCAGAGTTTTACAAACAGACTTCCCTCAGCCAGTTGTTCTCTTGCGCTACGGACCTTGAAGCTTTTAACCCGGAGAGCAAAGAGCTGTTGGACTTGGTAGAGTTTACAAGCGAACTCAAGACTTTGCTCGGTTCCTCGCTTGACTGGTTGCATCCGCACGAGGAGCCTCCCTTCGACATCCTCTGGTGAACCATCAGGCCATTTAATGTACAGTGCTCTATACAGTTACTTCTTTATGTATATGTGTTCAAATGCAATTGTTTCTGTAAAGAAAGGACACTATTAAATATGAAAATATCTTCCCTTTATATAAGAGATCTGAATTCCAGTTGGATGGATTTTGGAAGAATTTTTTTTTAAATTCAATCAGTTTTTACAAAATTGTTATATAATGTTTCTTTAAATGCACACAGGCTTTGGGATAAGTTTGTTATTACTCGGAACACATTTTTTTTTTAAAGAACACACCCACACATTGACTTTGTTTCATACAAAGCACTGATTACACAGAACATACTTTTTCTAGGTGATGTGATCAAAGTCGTGTGGCTTGTTTGGGAGAGAGAATTCAGTAAGGCACTTGGTGATATTATTTTTGTTTTTTTGTTTACAGAATTACCTGCTTTGGCCAGGTAAGCACTATTGAATATAATTCAATAGTTTGTAATATAAATTAAACCATATCCATACACATCAACTAATTGTAAGAACTTTTATATCCTAATTTAAAAGCTGTGAAATTTAGTTTTCACACATCAAACCGGATTGTTTATATATGTTTAAACATTTTATGCTCTTTATTTAAAGAAGACTTTGAACTATTTTTTCTGTACCTTGTAAAATATTGAAAAACTAACATATGTTGAAGTTGCTTGAAACTGTACATAAACTAAATTTTCTGAATTGTGTGTTTATGTTTGAGATCTGTGTTTTAACTTTGTAAGTAAATCTCCTGCCTTTGTATTTATATTTTACAAAAATTTTCTTAAAGGCAATAAAACTGTTGAGAAACGAAGAGGCTAAAGTGACTCCCATTAATTCCGTGCCTGGTTGTGAAATGAGCTCCGGCTCATTCATGTTTATGAAAGGAAGCTCTGCGAGCGGTTTCCGAAGCCGAGCAGAGCTGGCACAGGTGCCGGCAAGCAGCTGATGAAATCTGAGGTAGAATCTGCATCGCCTTTCTAAATTCGAGGTTACAAGAAAACATCGGGCGGGCGCCTTTTGTGGGACAGAGGTTTAAAAGTGGTATTCACAATACTTTCTGCATTGCCTTTTAGTTAAAGAATTGTGAATAGGCTCAATTATTTTTCTTCCTTTGTCATCCTTTTAAGTTGAATCGACTGAATTCTCTTTTCAGTGGTGTCTGCAGAGGGGAGGAAAATAGTACCAGGGTAAGTGCTTTAGTTTTAATGTGGAGCATTAAGGCTAGGAGCACCCTTTGGAGGGATCTGAAGGGACAGTGAACAGAATGTCACTTTTACACATCTTGGGAACTTGCATCTTAAGAGGCTGGCCTCCCAGGGCTTGGGCAGGCCCTCTCTTAAGGGTCTGGGTCTGCCTTTCCCCTGCGGACGAAGTTCCCTCTGTGAACCCAAAGTCTGAGTTTTGCTTTGGGGCTGTTACTAACAGTAGTATGTCCTGTGATAGCCAAATGCTTCAGCTGAAACGCCTAAATCATGCTACTCTTCTGGTGAAGGCCAAGACACCCACCAAAAGGGTCTTGAGCAGAGCACCTGGTCCATCTGAGAAAAGCATCTGGGAAAAAGTTTCTCTTTCCAGAGCAGTGAGGCTCAGAGGTTTTGATTAATGGACAGTGTACTGCAGGTTAAATCTTGAGCTCTTGGGGGAGCTTAAGGAGGTGCGAATCGCCCTTATCCTGAAGGTAAGGGAGAATGGAGAATGACACCTCATTGCTGAAGGTGCCCCAGAGGGAAAGACGCATTGCTCATGCCTCTCCCCGTGTGCTGCCATCGAGTCTTCAGCCAAATGTTTGTACTGCGCGGTTTGCAGTGGGACTGCTTCTGGGAGTAAGGTGATTTTATAGCTGAGCCAAGAGGCGAGAGAGGGGTCCCGACAGCTGCCTGCTGCTGGCAGCTGAAGTCCCGTTTCTGCACAGGACAGGGAATTGTTAGTCCTAATACAACCACTGACATCTTTCTCCAGACTGGATAAGGAGGATGATGGTCTCTCCTGTACGGCTTCTGCGCACACCCTGGGTTTCCTCTTAAGCCAGCCTCCAGCTTTGCGAGGAACTGAAACACGGACATCCCTACTCTCCAGCGCCGGCTGCTTTTACCCCCGATCTTCCCAGAAAGCAGAGGTGGGCCAGAAAAACTAAGGCAAGGGGGAACATTAAAAACAATTGTTACAGACACGTTTATCTCATCAGCTGCGTAATGCTTGGATGGTTTCAGCTGAGCATAAATCAGCTTCGTACCACTTCCAGGGGTGCGTAGCAAGACACCTCACTTCTTGCTGTGCCCCACAGGCAAAAAGATCGACATGGCTTCCTCTTTTGGCTGGCTCCTCCTCAAGTGATCTTGAGCACGTGCTCCCCAAACATCTCCACTTAGTCAGCTTTCCGCTATCTCCACCGAGTACAGTTGGGCCTTCTCCATGCTGGCGTTTGCATCCGTGCTCAAATACAGTAACAGCCTCATGCTGTTGTAACGCAAGCGTGTGCCTGCCCCCGGGGCTCGTCTGCACTCTAAAAATAGGGCCGTGGCGGGGAACACCTGATCGCAGTGCTGTCCCTTGACATAACACAACCATTTTATCTTCTCTAGGATGTACTTTTTTTAAACGCTTTGCCGTGCGAGGGTGCTTGGGAGAGCACAGAGGGTTCAGCGAAGGAGCAGGGCAGCGTCCCGTGCTGCCGGGCACATGAGGCTGGCTTGGCTGACCCTATTCTGAGTGGTTTGGGAGAGACTCTCATGGGAGAGGCTGGCTGCAAGCATCGTTTTGCAGTAGGCAAGCCCAGGGGATAGTTACCTTGGGGAGAGGAGAGATGGCGGCGTGCCAGCAGGGAGCGAACTCAGTGACAGCGAGCGTAGGCAGGGGAGCCGAAATGCTGGCCGCCTTGCCAGCATTGGGTCTGGCTGGATCCTGCACGGCGCAGAGCCGGGGGCTGAGCCAGCCCCAACCAGCACAGCAGGGCAGGGCTGGGAGGGGGCTGATGTTCAGCGTTTCAGCTTCTGGACTCACGCTGCTCTCCTTTAAAGCACTTCCCTGTGCATCCTCCGTGGGCCAAAGAGACTCGCATCACACCGCTGGCATTGCTCCAGGTTAATAAAAAGCATAAGGAAACAGAAACGCAGCCTTTGGGGATGGTAAAACCCTGCTGATCCCGTGTCCTGCCTTCTGCAAGGTGAAAGTACAGTGTTGATGCTGTTGGGGCCCAAGCCAAGGTGTTTCCTTGAGTTTCCCCTGCTTATCACTTGGATTTGCCTGGCTGGGAGGTTGTGCTGCCCTGTGGAGGTGCTGGAGAACTACTGGTGCGATAGGGAAAAAAAAAACCATCTCCAGCTACAGCAAGCAGGTGAGCCTCACTGAAGGGAGCTTCCTTTGTCAAACTTTTACTTGGTGCTGGCTGGGAAATCCCAGGAAATACCTGGCTTCAGGCTGGCTGCCTGGGGCGGTGGCGGAGGGGAAGCCACAGCACGAGATAAACAATGCTGCTGAGGACTACAAAATATTGAACTCCTCCTTTGCTTTCTTGCCTTACCCAAGAGGGCTGGGTTCTGCGTAATGGGGCCAGGCCTGGGAGTTTCCCATTTGGGTTATTACTCCCTCCAGACACTGTTGTTTCTTCTGCTTTGCTGTTGTCCCCCCTTTTGCTCTGGTGGCCTAGCTGGAGACTTGCGCCAAAGACACTGATATGGTGAGTGGCAAGCAAGGGCCAGAGGCATTTGGTCCTTGATGGTGCTCTTTGGGGGACCAAGCTGCTAAAGGGAGAGCCCAGATGCCCAGTGGAAGCCTGACCCAGCTTCTAGTTTGTAGGATCACAAGAACAGAATGGAAATTGTCTTAAAAACTGCTCCCAGGGGCCAAGCTCGCGCCATGAATCAAAGAGTTTGAAGCTGACTCCTCCCTTCATTTCTGTGCTAAATAACGAAACTATAGATGAGACCCATCGTTTGTGCATTAATATGAACAAGGTGTCAGGGAGTGGTAAATGCAGGCAGCTGCCATTCCCAGGCTCTGCGGGACTGCTGGTAAACATTCAGCATCATTTCTCCAGTTCATACAGGAAAAAGGCACACATTGCTACTTTAAACTTGTACAGATGCAAGCTAACTGAAAAAATACTATCATATCTGTTTAAAATTGTTTGCAGAACATTGTATTTTCATTTCAGTATGGGTCCAGTGTTGGTAGGAGAGGGCTTAGCGCCACTAGACAAGACAGAAGAGTTGAATGCCACAGTCGTGAAGATGTACATTAGGTCTTTTCTCAATGTGCTTATTCACCATTGCGTTTCTGCTAGGAGGAGGGGCAGGAGAAGAAAGTGACTGGAATCCAACAAGTTTCACTTTGTGAGCTTGTAGCGTTGTCAGGGGAAAAAAAATCCCCAAGCAGATCTGTAGAAGATGAAGTTCTCTTTAAGTACCATGACTCGATGGCCACACACTCTTCCCACCTACATCAGTCTTGCTAGTTCTGCGTTTCACCCGTTAGTGTGCTTTGCATGGGTTCACCGTGATTGCAGAGTGAAGAGATGGTATTTTCCTGCGAGTTAAGCACGATGAATCATTAGCAGCAATGCTGCCTTCTACCCTTGAGCTTGGGGGTGAAGGCAGCACGTTGCTTATTTCTGGTTTGCCAGCCCTGAAGCAAACCTTGTCCGCACCATGTGCACATTTTACTCCAGCAGACTGACATGACTGTAGACGGTTGCTCTCTTGGGCCAGGTATGAACCACAATTCTGCCACTAAATAGATTTTCCTTTTGTTGTCACATTAATTTGCAACTCATTAATAGTGACAGCAGTGAGGTACTGCACTGATGCAGATTTGCATATTCATGACCAACGTATTATTAAACAAATAAGAGTTCCCTAGCTTAGGAAGCACCCAGAGTAATGCCACATTGTGCATTATATCAGCCTGGATGTTTTATTTTCTCTTTAATATGTTAATAGATGCAAGGGGTGCTCTTTTTTTAAGTAAATGTGCATCTATAAAATAACATGTAATTTAAAATATCAGAATCATTTAAATAGTAATCCATTAACAAACCTGCCAATTAATTGAGCAGGAATACCTATTTAATGTACAAATCAATTAATCAATTTTAACTCCTTGCTTTGCCGCCTGATGGCTGTAACGCAGGCAGTACCGGCAAGGCACGACCGAGTCACTGTACCAGTGAGGTGAGTGAGGGGCAGACAGCTGATCCCGTGATTTATGGTTTGTTACAGTCAAATTGTTTGGTTTTCATAGTTGCTTGTGTTTCTTTCCCCCCAGAGGAGTGGTGGGGGAGAACGTGAAGACTGTGCCTGGCGTGGTACCCACTGCTGCCCTGTCGTCTTACGTCCACCTCTCTGGCACGGCTGGGGAAACGTGGCCATCGTGGCTTGGCAGGGCTCCCCCGCCTCCCCCAGCATGGTGGGGAAGGTGCATCCCTGTACCGAAGAAACCAGGGGGGAAAAGCCCCTGGAGTTCAGCAGCCACTCAAAATCTGCAGGCAGGAGGAACAGGAGATGCAGGGCGTGCAGCCATCCTGCAGGCATTTTGGTTTGCTTGCTGGTAATGGTGAAGGTTTTTTCCCTACAAAGTAGCATGTTTTTTTTCTATCAGGCTATTCAAGACTAGCTGGTATGCATATCAAAACCCTCTTCAGCTCCCTGCTGCATCCATATTTTTCATTCCTTTCTGGCTCTTTTAACAATTTGTAGGGTACCGGGCATAATTACACGTGTGGGAACTAGCTGGTTATTGCAAAGTTCCCCTCAGTCCTCAAGTTATTTCTTTTCCTGGCTTGACTTTCCAGAGGCCTTTGACGGCGTTGCCTAAC